AAACGACCAACAAAAGGCACGTCCCAGTTCTGTTGCCTTCAACAACTTTATTTCTCTTTTTCACACCGGGAGCTTGACTCCTCCTTTGAAAGCATCAGCTGGCTGATGCTTGTTATGCTTTCTTTTTAATTTTCTAGACAAAATATTAGCAGAATAAGGAGGTTTTGCATTTCTCAGTGGCGAGAGGCTTAATAACCTGACGGCAAAAAATAACGTTTTTTAAAACTTTTTTGTTTTCATGAACGGTTTTAGCCAAGTGATGCTGTGGTTCAGTACAAATTCGAAAGGAATGCTGCTCAGGATTCATTGCAGACGTTCAGTCGTTGTTGTGTGCTTACCAGGGAGTGTTGATGATGCACTGCGATCAGCAGCAGTGCCTTGAAGGGTGTTGCCTGATCCAGTGCACTGAGTGAGCAGTTATTCCATCCACCTGTTGTGATAGCTAAACTGGGTGTGAGCTGGGCTGTAGTAGGGCTCCACGTGTGCCCCATTGCTGTCAGTAATCTGGTTGTTCCTCCTGGAATTGAACCTGTTGTAGAATCATAGAACGGTTTGGGTTGGAAGGGACCTCAAAGATCATCCAGTTCCAACCCCCCTGCCATGGGCAGGGACACCCTCCACTACACCAGGTTGCCCAAAGCCTCATCCAAGCTGGCCTTGAACACTGCCAGGGATGGGGCAGCCACAGCTTCTCTGGGCAACCTGTAACTTGTATGCTGTTTGTGTTTGCAGAGCTGCACCATGACGGCTGCCTTCGCAGATAGCTCTGGTGATGATGAAAAGCGGCGGATGGAGTTGAGCCAGAGTTACAGCAGCTCTGGCTTGGACTACTCAGAAGATACCTTTGAGCCCTTCAGTGAGGAGGATGAAGCCTGCTGGCAGGGAGAGACTGAACCATCTGGATTGTCTTGTTCCATGGAGGATTCAGAGGGGTCTGCTGTGTCAGACACCTTGGAGAGCAGGTCGTGGTCAGCAGGCCAAGATCACACAGGTATGCAGAGCTTAGTGTGCTCGAGACCTGTCTTTTCACAGCTTTAAACCAGTGCAGTGGAGACTTGAATCAGCAAAAAGAAAAACGTACAAATGGCTCACAGTGTTGTTGCTGTGCAAAGCAACAGAACTTCAGTATGCTGACACGGTCTGTGTTTTGCCCTCCCAGGGGTCGCCGACAGCCACACGCACAAGGCTGTGATTTGGCTTTGGAAACTCTTCCTTGTGATGCTGAAATTCTGTTGGCATGTTAAAAAAAGTTCTGTAAGATATCTTGACTGAGTTACCATGTATGAAAAGTATCTGGGCCTTAAAATAATCTTTCCAAGGGCACAGGGAGAGTTCCAGGACTTGAAATACTTGAGAGAGCTACATAGTACTGTGCAGCTGCGTCAGATAAGTGGTAAAGAAGCAGGCAGCAGGACACAAGCTGGCTGCCTTAATGTCTTGTTAGGTTTTCTTCTGTCTCTGGGAGGTTCTCTGTCAATCTTCTCCGTTCTCCTTTTCTTCAGGTTTGCTCTGGTAAGTGTTGTGAGTACTTGGAGATGAGTGTTTTTTAAAATCTCTGGTTTAGTTTGGGAGCTTGTCAGCATATATAAACATTACAGCTTTAAAGATTAACTACAACACTTTTAATATATTTTTTAAAGGCGTGTAGACTTAAGAGATACTTTAATGTCTGTTAGCTGCTACTCTTGTAATCTGATTTACTTGGTTCAACTTGATGAGATGGCGTATACCAACGTATAATTAACCTTGTCTATACTTTAAAATTAGCAAGTTGTTTCTGTTGCTACTACAGACAAGTCCAGTAGAGATATTCCTCCTGTCCCTCATCCATCCAGCGTTTTACTGTGGGTTGGTTTTTTTTTTGTTCTGCGGTAATAACCAGCACCATTATCATTAGGAATCCTTTTGAAATACTGTGTAGGCATGAAATGCCAACAATGCAGGACAAAACATGCTGTCAGATATGTGTACGTGAGTGTAAACCCTGTTTATCATGTCACAGAATGTAACATTAGATATGAGGGCTTCAAAAATGTGAATAGAGAGGTGATCGTTGCCTTGGTGTCAATTCATGCTACATTGATACAATTGAACAGTGTCTACTGAACAGTTTTGCTTAAAATCTTTGGTTTTTACAAATGATAGGTTTTAATAAACCTTTTTTATTTTTTTCCTGGAGATATAACAAGTCACATTCAAGCAGAGGATTATTTGCCCCCAGCTTTGTTCTTCTGCAGTCCTGCTTTCTTTCCAGTGTATGTCAAAGCTGCCTTTTTGTTGCAGATGAGCAGCCTGAAGCAGCGGGTTCTGCAGCTATGGAAAGAGGTCTCCTGGGAAAATGGGCTGATGTAAAAAATAAAGAAGCTGGCCCTAAGCAAGGCAAATCGGTCATCAAAACTCATGATGGTGAGTTCAGTCACTTTAGTAGAGGTTGTAATTCTTGTTTCTTTTGAAAGGGGATGTAAGCTTCTAACTAGACTTAACTTTAATAGCTTGTATGTAAAAGCCAAGCTAGGTAATTAGCCTGGCTTAATTAGCAGGTAATTAAGTACAAAGTTTCTCTTTATACTTTCTCAGAAAGCAGTTTGTCTCCCATAACACACATGCCTTTGATGCTCCTGACATAGTGGCGTTATCTTAGTGATGCATTATCACAAGATCTGGAGGAATGCATTAGAAGATGTGTCCACATTTTGAATGTAACTGTAATCCCCAAAATTTTACTGGACTGTTTAGTTTTTCTCTTCTCTTCAGCTGTACAGGTACTAGGAGTGTGTTGGGTTTTTTTTTCCATCCGAAATAAACATGACTTGAGAATTTGTGTGAAATGTTTTTCCCCCTGTTAATCAGTTGTGTTAATTATTGGTTTACTTGTTTGCCATGTTTTAGTTCCTTTCCAAGCTGAGGGAGGCAGCAGGGCACCAGTTTTGGCAAGAACAATGGAGCAGCTTCAACCAACACAATGATGTAGCTATGGAGGAGGAGAGGGGAAGGGAGGAAGGAAGGATGCTGTTTGCATGTACTGGTTATGCAAGCGACTGTGAGAGCAGATGGTGGGATGCAAGTCTTGCTTAAGTCTTTCTAAAAAGTGGGTCAGAGATACTATTTTTAATTAAATAAAAAGAGCAAGAAAGCTGTATTGAGTTAAAAATAGTTGGAGCAGAAGGGAAATCTTCCTCAGTCCGTATGTATGTGAAAAGTGAGCGAACTCAGAAGTTTTGTAGGTCACCTGTGAGACTGATTAACCAGGGAGATCCTCCTGCCTAGATACTTCACGGCATTGCCTTTGCCTACAAGCATCCTCAAACCATCGCTATATCCTAGGAAATGATGACCTAAGATAATTTTTAGGCTGTTCTTAGTTGTAGAGCTCATTCACAACAGTGGTGAGTCAATGTTGGGAGTTCTTGACTCATCTTCAGCACTTATCTTTCTATTACTGGTTTTCCAAGACTGCCATGTAGTCAAGTGAGAAGACAGTTAATGTAGATCATCTCATCCATAGTAGAGATGCTTTTCTTGGTGAGTTCCTCAGATAGTTTTCCTAAAATACATCAGAATCTCATGACTGTTTGATTCATAGAGAAATTGAAAAGGCCCTGATGAGTTCAGGTTCATTGAGTGAATGGAAAACAACACTGGCAGGGGAAGTTTTCCATCTCTGCAGAACTTTCCCTTGAAAGTTACAGTTGGGAAGATTTTCTCCTGATCAGTTTCACCTTTTGTAGTTCTGCACAAGGGAACCTTTGGTTTCTGCACCTTGGTGGGCGAGGAGAGTCAGAGTGGTCACTCCGTCTTGAGCAGCCAGTTCTGTCTTGTCAGCTTGCACGGGTGGCTGAGGTGGTGGATTGTCTTCTGCCTGCCTGTCCTGTCCTGTCTCATCTGAGCAGCTGAGCACTTTTCAGGTGCCTTGGCACAGTGTTTCCAGCCATTATTGTTATTATGGTAGTGGTGTCAACAGTGGGAAACCTATAAGTAAAAAAGGCCAGTGTAGATACGGGCGAGTAAACACCTCAGTCCGTGTTGTTGCGGTGAAAGGTGCTGGCGTGTGTGTGCCGAGGGAAGTATGAGTGTTTGTTTTTCTGCATCAGATTTTTTTTTCCAGTTTGTCCGGAGTATTTCTGAGTAGATCTAGTTTACATTCACTTTATGAACAAATTTTCCTATGTCCAAGCATTTAATTATTGACTTAGTAGTAGTGGTTCATGAAAAGTATTTATTGAAAGTGGTAGTAGTCTATTTATGAGAATTGAGAAAGCATCCTACTGCTCTGTTTGGAGAAGGGAGTAGATACCCAGTAGTCTGTACTGGCTCTCTTTCATATTCCTGAGCTCTTCAGCACCAAAACTTAATGACATGCACAGGCGGTGGGATTCCTGCACACTTAGTTAGACCCTGAGATGCCAGACTTCTGTCCTGATTCTGTATTAAAATAGTATTAATGTAGGCTGGAGGGGAAAATTCCAACCAGCAGCGTCTAAATGGAAACCCTGCTTGTAAAGAAAGTTCTTCAAGTTTATTAATGCCTGTATGGAACTGGGAAAGAACAAATTTCTTCCAAAAGACATGGTTTCTGCAAGGTTCCTACTGTCTCTTCTCACTGGTCTTGGTGGAAGCTGAGGGTGTCCTCCACCGTGCTGGAGGAACTTTGCTTGCTTTAAACTCACATTTGTAATTAATAGCTTGGTATTTCAGACTGCTGATAGCAGTTCTGCGTTACCTGGACGAACCTTTCAAACACTGTGCTTGCTGACTGGGCTGTCAGCGTGTTCATCTGAGCTGCTGCACTCGATTGTGCAAGTGCAAGTTTGGATCCTTGTGAGAATGCTATCTTGAGACACAGAGTCTTTCTGAAGAGTAGTTACCAGTTACTGCCTTTCACAATTCTCTCTCCTTTAACTGTTTTACATTTTTTTCTTCTTAAAATAGAGTATTAGTAGAGTGTAATAATAACAAAATGCCTGCCTGTTTTCCTGTTAAGTCGAAGTTAGACATCAAAGGAAAAGGAAACTCAGTAAAGATTTTCTTTACTTTTCTCCCTCCGCTCATGCAGATTTAAAATGTCATGCTCAAAGATGTAGTTGCATACAGAGAGCAAAATCTATGTAGGTCACTGAGTTATAAACCACTCAGCAGGATTTAGAATGTAGACATGGAGATGAGCTTATCTCCCTCGGTACACACCGAGTGCTTCTGGAATCAGAGCAGCTTCCTGCTCCAGTTGGGATTTACTTTCGGAATACTCTGTGCTCGGTGACTTCACTGCTGTGTGAGCCAGGGCCCTGGCTTGGTGCTTGTTCTGGTGTTCCTCTCCAACGGGGAGGCTGTGGGAATGCAGAATTGGGGGCACCAAGCGTCAGCGAAACGTGCTGTGGGAGCAGGGATCGGTGCTGGTGGGATTCTCCGCAGACCGCCGGCACGACGGAGGTGGAGCATTCAGGAATGTCTGGTTCAGAGATGGAAAGCAGAGAATACGTGACAGACACAGGAAATAAAACCAAGCACAGAGCCAGCACATGGATCCTCCTGGGTGATCTCTTCTTTAGGAGAAGGACAGGCGAACCTCGTAAACCTGGGAAAATCTGAACGTGAATAGTCTTTTAGCTGCACAGTGACTGACTTTTTAGAGTTGAACTACGCTGACTTTTCTCATCACTCTTTGTTCTTGTTTCAGTAAAATTATAGGCCTTGATCCTTGATAATTGGTATTCTTTCTGAGCTTATTTACTGTTAAGCATTAGTTAGTCTTAAGTAAGTAACTTTTTGAAGTTGGATGCGCAGCCAGGTTTGAAGATCGCTGCGCTCTTTGGTGGTGGTTCTCCACAAACGAGCCAGTGGGTGGGTGTGTGGCAGCACAGGATTCGTGCACTATTAGAAACCAGTTCTTAATTAAAACGTGCTTCTATGTGTCAGGAGCAACGTAAGTGGATTAATTAGGCTGGTGTTAAATTTTCACAATGTTCAGCAGACCCCGTGTATTTTACTCGCACATTTGAGTACTCAGTGCATGTAAATGCTTTGTTCTATGGGTTTTCCCCCCCCCACAATAGTAACTTTTAAATCTTTTTATTCGTCCTATGTACAGCATAAATGAATATGCCACTATTTTATTAATGCCATTAAACCCAGCCGTGGCACATGATTTATGCTGGTTTACAGGGATTCTACATTGGCAGTTGTCAGGAAGATGACCTGGTGACTGAAATGGTGGCTTCCACTCAGATGTTCATGATACTACTGGAGAAAAAAATTTCATTAAATTGCATTTTAAAGTATTGTTAATTCTTATTCATTTGTGTATAAACAATCACTATGTCTTTGTCTTCAGTCAATTTGATACAACATCTAAGGAGAAATAAATTGCTTTATGATGCTCGATTCTGAACTGCCATAGTTGCACTTAAACCACATCTCTTCCTTGTTGTCCATGAAGCAAAGCTCACTGATTCCTGCTTTTCTTAGTCTTAACTCTAGATCCACTTAAACTTTATACGGATCAATTGCATTTCTGAAGAGATACTCAGTTTCCTTGCGGAATTCCACAGCTCTGTCTTAAGTATGTGAGACTAAATTCATCACAGCATATTTAGGTGAAGTTTTACATTCTTATTGTTCAGTTTTTTAGGGATTTATGCTGTGGTTATGCCAAGGTGCCCCACAGGACTGGAATGCCAATGCACCGGTTGTCAGACAAACACCCTGAAATATGCAGTGCCTGTCTAGAAAAAGTAAAACTGAATTTAATTCCTGAAAATGAGTGAAACAGACAGTATGGAGGGATTGCTTAAATTCTGTAATCATACTTTCCAGCTAAATGGGCAGTATAATTTGTTTCCGAATACTCTGGGTTAAAACAAACTGACCATACCTTACCTTTGTAGTCCTTGTCAGTTGTCTGACTTTTTTTTGGCTTCAGAGTGGAGCCCTGAGGATGGAACGCTGTGCTAGCAGTAGCTATGTGCAAAGGTATTCACAAGACTTCTAGTAATGCTTACTGGGATGTTTTTTCAAGTGTTTCGTTGGGCTTCAGTCATTGCATAAAAGCAAAATCTGTGTAGTAAAGGTAGATAGAGAGGTACTCGCTCCTCTTCAAGCAGTTGAAAACAGTGGTATCTCTTAAGGCTGTGTGGTACTACACAGCGTCATTATATACTGATGCTCATGAAATCTGTATTGATTTGCTGTGTTTAAGCCTGTGGAAAATCTCCCACTAAGCACTGAATGCAGTTGTAAATCCATCCTTACCTGCCCATCTGAAATGCAGTCAGTTTTTATTTGTTACTACGTGCCACTGGGAAGGATGAGAGAAGATGAGAGAGTGAAAGATATTGTTAAACAAAGTCATATGAAAAATTTAGAAAATGATCATTGAAGCTTTAGAGGATAGTATTTTCTAATACAATTGCATTTCCTAAAAAACAACAAAAAAAGAACCTAACTATAGGTTGTAGAATATAGGAGCTGTCTTCCAGGGTTTGAAAAATTAGAGGCAGTGTCTATTTCATTTCATTTTATCAAGTTGCAGTTTCAGGTAGGAAGAAGCGAGATCTATATTAGGCAGTCATTTGAAACTCACTTTATTTAATGTCATAGTATTTAGGTACTTGCTTTATTAATATGTTTATGCGGTGCCATTAAGCAGTCGGGTTCTTATCCCCTCCCCTCTTGGAAGACTATTCATAGAGACATTTGTCGTGCAAGTTCCTCCAGTTGTTACCCAGGTTTTTATTTGAATTCTGCACTGCTCCTGTTACAGTCATTGCCTCTGGGCTTGACACTGGGTTTGGTTTTTCATTAAATAGATAATACGAGGTCGCACAGATGTAAGACCAGTAATGCTTCGCTTTCCCTGGTACAGTAATTGATGCTTTTATGTTGTTGATTTATACCTGACAGAAATTACTGAATTACCAGACGAAGAACTGGATGCTCTCAGGTCTTTTTGCACCATTAAGATAAGGACGATGCGTCTGCGTCGGCAGCTGGTCTTCAAGCAGGCAAGTGGTGGCAAGTCCAGAAAGCCACAGCATGGATTCGCAGCAGATAAACTGGAGACAGGTGACTTGAACTGTGTTGTTCCTGGTCGGCTGATGAACAGAATCTGCCTGAAAAATATCAGAGAGACTGTTAAACAGGTACTGCAAGGGAGAAAAAAGTTTAGATTCTGACTATGCTTTTGGGAGAACCACTGGGGGAAAAAAGCCCTAACGTAAGGATCAGATCAGTCAGACCTGTTGATGCCACGCTCAGGCCTCTGAAAGAGATACTTGCTTGATACCTCAAGATTGTGTTCTGGTTCCATGTGCAGCTGGTGTTTGTAGAAGTGTTCTGCGTCTTACTTGATTGTGAAGTCTTTGTGTCTTCAGTGTTAAAAGCATTGCCAAGGCAAAACCTCCCCCTTCTCTCAGCTTTCTTAGGCATTAGGTCATAGGAAGAATTAAAGCATGTCCAGTAGAATCTCGGTAGAATAGAACTGGTTACATCAATTCCTTTACTAAGAAGCATCTGTTACCCTCTGTACACAACTCAAAGTGCTTTTCTTTTTCACCAGCCCATTGTTTGTTTTTTTTTTTTTAATTTTCCCTTCTGTAGGATAGGCATTCTGACACAGCTTCTCCCTTCAGCTCTGCATCCAAGTCTCAAGACTGCTATTTTATTTTTTTTGGCCGATGATTCTTGCTTTGTGCTTGCAGATAGATTGGAATATGTGGTTCTGTGGATTTAAGTAGCCATCATTACCTCCAGATGCCTTTACCCATAAATCTGAGCCTTGGCAACTGTTTGCACTTGGTTTGAAATTGGTACAGCATGTCTGCATCTGGGAAGGTATTTCTGATAAAACAAAAAATGGGCTTTGAATAGTGATTACAGTAATTTGTTTTGTTTTATCTCTGTCCCGTTTTCTGGCTTTAATTTGTCGCCGTGTCGCGTAGTAAAAATCGATAACGTGTTCCTCTGCACGGCCCGTGCCAGGTGAGCAGGGACTGGGGCTTTTCAAGTCAGTGCCGACGTGGTGGTTTGTTTAAATCATTTTGAAACTTCAGCAGTCTGCATTCTTTCATTGTATTACTGTTAACCAACCCACCACCCAGATTCTGTAGAATTTGTACTGCCTCTTTATTTGTTTTACAGCGTGGTAATACATTTTCTAAGAAAAGTAACTTTGCTGTGTCTATTTGCTTCTGTCTTTACCTCCACATAATAACATTTTTATGCAGAGGTGAAGAAATCAAGGAAAAAGAAGACAGAGAGGCTTGAGACATGACTTCCTAGGATTGATTCCACTGCTTTTCTAGCAACTTATTTATGTAAGCAGATGGAATCAGTACAAATTAAATCAGATAAAATTATTGATATTTCATAAGTGCATAAATACTGGGATTTGTGTAATGCTGTTAAATAGGGTTAAGATTTCATAGTGGATAAACTAACATAGGAATTTGTAAGTAGTACTGTTTCTCTTACAAAGAAAACTGTATAATTTTGTTTGTATTCTGCCTCAGAGCTGCCTATAGATATTCAAACTAATTGCCTCAGAGTTTATTTACCTCTTAGAATTTGTAAAGGTAATCATAACCTCTGTGGTGGGTGTTTAAGGCCTTATGTGTACTGTCAGTATAGGAACACAACTGTTCCTGCAGCCTCATTGCAGACAGGCCGTTACATGTGGTGGAATTATTGCCCATCACTGAGTTGTGATGATCAAGTATTTGAAATGTGGAGTAAAACGTGTTGGTTTATTTTAATCCAGGCTTCAGCAATTAGTGTGGTTGCTATTGTGGAAGACAGGTTAGCATGCCCAGGCTGGCCTCCTGGAGCATCAGCTGCTCCTTAAGGAAGAGGAACTAATGGCTGGTTGTGCTCTAAACACACTTAACACTATCAAAATGTGTATAGATTCACATTGGCAAGATGGTAATTCGTGCTGAGCATCCACCTAGGGAGAAGTGAGTTGTACTAGTGAAAACCAGTTTTTTTCCCAGTGTAACTGTATGCTCACAGTTGGTCTTGGATGGTCACTGGTGTGTTGCTTGGCAATCATGTGACTTCATTTTTTTTTTTTGACCATTATAGTTTCTGTGGAAGAAGTCAGTAATGTCCATGCAACCTCAACCACTAGGGAAACTTTGCCTGTTACAAGAAAAAAATAGTATGTTACAGAGCAGTGCTATGGTTCTGAGATAAAAATAGATAATTTTAAATGAAACTGAGTTATCAGTGCTGAAAGGGGTAACACCTGGGGAAAAGCAAATATATTTAATGTGAAAATATTCAGACAGGCTCATCAAGATGATACAGTGACAAAGATTATGAAATAATTTACAACTGCCTACAAAAGCAAATTTTTGTCTTTTGACAGCATCTACATCTGTATTTCTATGATTGTTCTTAATGGAGTGGCCATCTTGCTATGGCAGACATTGCTCATTGCATCAAAGTCTCATCTTTCAGGCGACAGAAGCTCAAATCCATGAACCTTCAGCGTGCCCTGACTGTCAGAAGAAGAAAGCAGAGCTAGCCAAGTCCGCCTTTCTCAGGCGAAAGAAGATTCTAATGGAAAGTGCTTTAATCCAAGAGAAACTGGAAGAACAGATTTACTCCACAGTAAGCAAATATTAAAAAAAAGTTGTGACACATTTGATGCATACCGTAACTAAAGAGTCCGTAAGGCAGATTTCCCTGTTTTATGGCAATGAGATCAGCTTGAGCTGAAGGCAGTGCAAGTCAAAATAGAATTGGACTCCATGTCTTCAATAAAATGCTCGGGTCTGACATACCGATGGAGTCATTCGAGCTTGCCCCGTTTGCATAATGAAGGTCTTTCCCAGGATTTCTCCACAGCCCGTTTTCTGATGAGCTGTCCCAACCAAAATGGTAAACAGCAAAATGACGTGATAGTAAGCAACGATGCCCGTACTAGTCTTCCTTACTCATCCTGTGGTGTAGGAGTCTCAGAATAGAGATCTACAACGTGTTGTGGAGGCCAAGACCTCTCAGGTGCACAGAGACTTCTTCTTGGAAGAACTGTCTTCTGTCTCTGTCTGCTGTCATAAAGATTCAAACTTTATATTGTTAGGAAGTACCTCTGGATTAGACAGTAGGCAATGTCAGCTGAAATTTATGGAATTCCTTGGATCTTCTGCGGCTATTCCTCAGGATGGTTTTCGTCCTGAAGGAAGAACTCTTCTCTCACTTTTTGAAGGGGAGTCAGACTGAAAGCAGTTTCTTTCTGAGCTCTAAGTGAGTAGTGCTCGCTGAAACCCTGAGATCGATCTCTTGGTGTTTGTGAGCAGGGTGGGAATTTGTGCACTATACCACACATTCTTTTTTTTTTTTTTTACTTAATAATGCCGGTCTCCTGGTTTTTTGAGCCCCATTAATTCCATACCTAATATTCGAGAACTTCAGTTGCAAATGAAGCTTTGCTTCTTTTGGCTTGTTTTTCTCTCACCTTCCCTGGAAAGGCCAGCTGCTTTTTACTTCCCTTCCTTAGGGAAGAAACCTGCTTTATGGGGCAGATCACTGGCCCATAAAAACAAAGTTTTTAAAGAGGATGCTTTAAAAATACAGCAAAATTGTGCTATGAGTGCTGCCTACCTAGGTGCTTTTGAGAGCCTGGATGTAGCTGCCAATGGTAGGCCTGTGATACGGGACATCAGAAATGGCAGGAATACAAACCCAAGTCATTTTCATGTTTTCTTTTTATTTCAGGATGTGCTTACACATATAGGAGAAGCACTCAGAAGCTTTCCCAAACCTTCAGAGGATCCGAGGAACTTATGGCAAAGGCTGAAAGGTCAGAAAATGTAAAGGCTGAAAGTAGTAAATCTAACTCAAGGACGTAAAGAGCTGGGAGAGTCTTCTGCAGGCAGTCACGTACTGAGTGCCAGTGATTGTGGACTTAACCTGTTCTGTCAGTGATGAATTGGGTGGTGGTTTAATGTTCTTGCAGGTGGAATTAGATATGCCCAGCGTGCTGGCGTCTGGGTGATGATTCAACTCTTCCTTCCTCCTAAATGCAAATGTTGCAATATGTTGTAATCCAGCTGCATAACGTTTTTCAGACTATGGAAGCCAACACCTTCTATTAGTAATCTGACAAGTAATAAGTATTGTTTTTTGTGGGATTGGTTGTGGGATTTCAGAGCAGCTCACAGCTGCTTCCATCCATAAGAAAAATTATTCCCTTTTTCGAGGCAGGGAGGTGTAATTACTGGATTTCAGCTCCGTCTTTGCCCACTGTCTCATGTTAAATTGAAAGTGAGAGCCCCAGGTGGAGGAGGAAAAAAAGGTTGCAAAGTATCTATAGAAAGGAGTAAAATGAAATGGGTTATTTATAGAGTGGAAATAATGAGACTATAACAGAAATTAATCAGCAAGGCTGAGGATGCCAACAGGACAAGAAATTATAGTAAATTAATCACAGGACCTAAATAGGATAGGTGTCTAGGAAGAGAAAAAACAACCTAGATTGAAATTGGAATGAGATGCCAGATAATATTTTTGACCCATTTTTGAATATACTTTGGAATTTATTGTATTTTTTTGTGGTTTTTCAACGTGGCAAAGTCATGATCTTTCAAAGACTGTATCTGGGTGAAAGATGAGTATTCAGTACACATCTAAATCAAATGGCTTTATGCTGGGGTCTCGCTGGGTTAGACAATGAAGTCGTCTTCGTTGTAGCCTCCAGAGATGTGTGCTGGTGTGTGGGCACAGGTGCAGCCCACCTTCCTGATGATTGCTGGCAGCAAGAGCTCATGGCATCGCTCTGGCAGCGACCTTGCGGCTGTTGGACTTGTGTTGTCATGAAGTTACTGACTCTCTTCAGTCTCCAGTTTGCTGACTCTGCGTTTAAATCTCTGAAGGCTGGGGA